TTTCGTGGAGGGTTGTAGGGGTTTATGGCCAGGAGCGACCACGGTAGCGGTGGAGCGACAGGGGTGGGCGATGATGATTTTACAGTCGACAGCGCCAAACGAGCGAGCAGCTGGTGTTGGTTGTTGGATCGCCCTGCCCACCATCGCATCCATCTGTGCGTCAAAACACCATCATTCGACAAACGAAAATGTTGGTGTTGCAGTGCAGTGGCGCCAAGGGTGTCTCGCCGGATCTGGCACATCTGGCAAAGCTCACCAAAGCTCTGTGGCAGCCTGCCACATTTCACAATTCGCCCACGCATGGATCGATCGACAACAGCGTTCCTCGCGCAGCTCGCGGGCGAGGCCCAGCGCTACGACGAGATGGCGGCCCTCGCTACGCAGCTCCTCGCGTTTCCAGCGCCACTGCAAAGCGACGAGTTTGACCTGCTCGTCATCGCGTTCAAAAACCTCGTGGGACCCCTTCGGCTCGCGTGGCGCGTCACTGCCTCCATTCAAGATGCCAAGACGACGTGGTCGGCCGCGCGCGCTTCGGATCTGACTGCGTACCGCGCGCAGATCGCCGCCGAGATCAAGTCGACGTGTGAGACGTTTTTGTCTCTCCTCAGTGACCGCCTCGTGCCCGAGGCGCCGACGGTCGACGCCAAGGTGGCCTACTTGAAGACCCAAGGCGACTACTACCGGTACATGGCCGAAGTGTTCATGTACGACAATGCTACGTGGGCGGAGCGCGGTGCGATGGCCTACAATGACGCATGGACAATCGCCGTCGTGGAGCTGGCACCGACGAGTCCGACGCGGCTTGGCCTTGCACTCAATTTTGCGGTCTTTCTTTACGAGATTGGCAACGCGCGAGACGCGGCCGTAGCATTTGCACAGAGCGTTTTTCGCGATGCCCTCGACGACCTCGACAGCCTCAGTGACCACAAGGCGTATCAGTGCGCCGCCATGATCATGCAAGCGCTTCGCGGCAACATCGCGGTCTGGACCGCCGACGATGGCGTCGTCTAGTCGTTCGTCTTGTGGTATGTCGATGTATTGATACTTTCAAACAAGAAAAATGGTGTGTTTGCAGCCATGTTACTTCCATTGTGCGAAGGCCACTACCATATACTTTCTAGTCCCTGGTTCCATCGAGGCGCGTACGATAGGGCGTAGAATCCTTATTCATTCGCGCAGCAACAGTCTTCCAACGCGAAGCTACCAGCAGCATCAAGTTGCCCGATCCTTGACGGACATACGACAATAGTGCACATGCATTTCAAGACACCTTGTGCTGTACTCCGTACTGCAAACTAGCGAGCGAGAGCGAGGTACTTTAACAAGACCCAACGAGACACAAGACGATAGGAGGCGGCGAATCCTCGATAAAGCCAAGCGTGGTGGATACTAAGCAAATGCTGAAGTGAGAGTCGGGAGCACTAGCGGCCTATGGAGTGCAATGGATGGCCTACCGGCCATCGTATACTAAGATCTATACTACTATATCTAGAGAACAATGTGGCTTGTTGTGCCTTTCATATCTAAGGAAAGATATGCAACCGACGTGATCCCTAAGCTATGGCTAGCCGCCTAGGTTCCAAGAACCTAAGCTGTGTATTGGTGAATCATGCAAGTCCTTTGACCAGATATCGCAGATATACTACACACCTAGGTGTATATCGAAGGACAGGCTATCTACTTGATGAGGACACTGGTGTTTTTGAGGATCTTGATGTTGAACATGAGGCTTTTCACGTCCTTGTAGTCGCTGTCGAGAAGATGAAAGTGGTGGTCCGAGCCTTGCGCGACGAGGTAGAGTTGATCTGACCGGCCCGAGCTGCTGCTCTCGGTGCCGTCGCCGTGCGCGGATGGCAGTTGACTCATACCCACGGTGGTATCACTCGCCGGAGGATGGTGCGCATGCTGGTGGTTCGCATGCGCCTTCTTCTTCAACTCCTTTTCCGGCAAGCCAAAGAGACTCAAATGGCTGAGAAAGAACCACTGGAGCGTGCAGAGCCGACGGGCCTTGCAGTGAATCACCGGCGAGGCGGCATCGATCGCTCCAGGATCAATCCCGACAATGTCGTCCATCAAAATCGACGTGCTGTTGTAGATCGCTTGGCGCGCCAAACTGTTTTGGCCGAGGCGGCGCCAAAAGGCCATGTTGCACGTGTGGTCGAGCAGCGCGACCATGAGAATGTTGGAGACAAGACCTGCGGCGATTGCACCCGACCCGCGCACGTAAAAGCTCTGCAGAAAGTCCAACGCGATCCCATCGAGCGGCTCGTCGACGTTCTTGATGTCTGCGCGCACGCTGTTGTTGTACTCGATGAACGGCGGGATGTAAAAGAGCAGGATCGCACTCAGGTACAGAGATGTGACGCTCCGGAGGTTGAAGAAGCCCATGACGGTGCTTTGCCCGCAGTACGTGGCCGTCGACACGAGGTGCCACAGCACTTTGAGTGCCTTGAGAAACGCACAGTTGAGCCAGAGCAAGCGCGTGCTCAGCGCGAAGAGCTGAAAGCCCATCGACCACTTGAAGCACACTTGGTTGAAGACTTGCACTTCGCGCGTAAAGATGATCGCGTGGTTGATGTCGAGGAGGACGCTTGTCGTGAAGAAGAGCACAAACATGTCG